GTAGTCCCTATAGTTTTGATTCATCACCGTCAAGGATGTATTTATTTTTTATTAAAGAAAACATTCTTCTACTTCACCGCTATCAGTATAAAACTAAACAAAAAATATATTTGACTTTTTATCAGTAATCAAAACTTTTTAAAATATATAAAGTTGTAAATGACTTGAGATTGAGTTTAAAATTTTTATTTTATTTATAAAAAAAGGAAAAAGTTTTTATTTTAAAATAAAGGACTTTTACATTTCAAACGTTGCTTTTGCAGGAGTTAATTACAAAAATACCCCCAAAGAAAACTTATATTATTGATTTTTTATCAATTTTTTTTGAAATAAAATAATAAAAAATATTAAAAACAAAAAAAATACAGAAACCATTGAATTGCCCCAATTTCTTTTATTTAAAAAAATTACATTTTAATATGTTTTAATAATAAAAAAATAATTGAAAATGTCTATTTTCAGTCTAATTACAGAGTAGTAGAAACAAAGTGCAAATGGAAGGTATGAACAAAGTGCAAATAAAAACACATCAATTTCATAGACAATACTCCGAAAACAATTACATATCATTGTAAATAGCCCTCAACACTTGTGGTTAATAAATCTAGAAGATGACTCATCACTAGATTCTCACAATAGTAGACACTTCACCTATTCATGGTAACATACAGAAATAATATAGAAGTTAGTCGAATTTAAATAATTATAAAAGCATTATATGATTAATACGATATTTAAGAAATAAAATTATAAAAGCATTTGATCATTATCATTACCCTTTTTATTTGAATAAGAGAAGTCACATTTTAAATAAACTTAATGATTATTACGTAATACAAACAAAATATGTGAAGAGAAGTGTTGACGCTTGATTTTGGACGCCAACGACTCGCACGTGGGAAACGCTGAGCTGACTCAGGAGACACACGTGATGGATCCATGAGATTTGAATATGGAGCTGAGATTATATATTTTGCAGAAAAAATAAATAAAAGATTGGCAAGAGGGGTTTTTATAGTGGATCGGATGCAACAAGCGATTCCTACATCCACTGTTATTTTATTTGATCTCTCACTATTTCTATAATTTTGCCCGTAAGGCATACAAAGATGAAGAAATACAATGTTTTTACAGAGAGAAAGAATTGAAAATAAAGCTCAAATCTCAGCCTAGCCTCCAGCCTCCCTTCTTCGGGAAGAGAAATGCCCATTTATTCACATTTGCACTTAATGCAATGAGAGCTTTTGCAAACTGCCTTGACACATGGAAGGCTCTCGTCCATTCATCTCTTTGAAATGAGATAAAATTGGTGAGAATATTTTTTGGAGATATAGGCTTGGCAGCTGGTACAAAGAGACATTAATTGTGCTGACATAGGCTTGACTGTTGAGGCATAACAAGAAGTTTTGAAAAAATTAATTAGGAGAGACGTTTTTTACAATAAATAAGGGAGAGAGATAATAGATATAAATTAATTTTATAAATATGTAATCCCTATCTTAACCATTCATTTTGCTTTAATTCAAGGGATAGCGGATCCCTGCCCACATATTTATACGGGAAAGGTTCCACAACCCCATTTTTTTGGACACAAGTTTTCCACCTTTAGATGAAAATATAATCAACGGTAAAAATATGCTGATTTATCAAGCTGATAAATATGTCTTAAATTGCCAGATTTATGTAATAAATATTTCCAAACAAATTAACATAACTCCATATCTATCACCCTAATCATTTCTTACTATCAATAAAGAGCTACAATGAAATTAACATAGAAAAAACGCTTTTCAAGAAATCATACCTGTTTTTTCATGGATGAGACTATTTTTCAACAAGCTGCTCAAAATCTTCACATGACAGAGATGACAAATATCTAGTGTTGTAATAAAAACCTATTCCAAATGCCACTTTATAAGTTACCAATACTTGTGGAATGTGTTTAGTGAGTTTCTCTCAGTTCTCACCTTTCATCATCCAATAAATCTCTTTCAACATCCCCACAAATACAAGTCTCTTAAGATATGTTAGATGCTCAATTCCTGTTGGAAGCTCCTTCAAAAGTGGGCATGGTCCAATAAAAAATTCTCTTAGATTAAGCATGGAACCTTTATCTATCATCATCCATTTTAATCCTCCAAAGTTAACGAGCCACAACACTTCAAGCTTCGGAAACCAACCTTCTTTGAAATGCAATATGTCATCACAATACGTCATCTTGATAATGAGATTTAATAAATTAGGTAAGGCTTGAAGGGCATTTATGGGATCAACATCAGTTGTTCCCTCTAAACCCAATTGTATTTTAATCAATGTTTTAAAACCCAACCTGGGGTGAAACGTGGCAAAGCTTCTAGGTCCCAGGTTGACAAAAACTTTTAAAATTCAGCAAATATACACTTAAAAATTTGTTAAGTCCCTATAGGTTTGAAATTTATCAAACACACCCCAACTGCAAATCGACCGATGACTGATTAGCGGCGGCGACACCCCAGATGCAACCTCAATCGTCCCTTGAGCCCATTTCCATCAAAATATACCCAAGATCTAGTGGAAATAGGTTCGATTTCGACCAGATCTCACCGACGTTGACGTCGACGTTGGCATTCTAGGCCAGATCCCATCGATTTCGGCAACAACAACTCTCCCCATCACCCCAGAATTACTCCCCTTTTTCTCCCGACCAAAACCCACCTCACCCCACCCCCGTTAGCCTCGTCAATCACCAGAAAAATCTCATCGTTGCTGCTGCCAATTTTGTTCGATTTTCGATCGATTTACTCACCGGAAATCAACTCTTTCACCACCATTACATTCACCGGAAATTGTCTTCAAAAGCCCCAACATTCCGACAGTTAATTGTTTGCCGATCATCACCAGAAATCCTACGGTATTGGGTGAATAGGAAAAAATTAAACCCGACCCGTTGAAGCTTCTAGGTCCCGGTTCATCCAGCTGGGCTGGGCCGGCTTTTAAAACATTGATTTTAATTAGATTTTGAAGTTCAAAAATCCCAAACGGCAGCTTCTTAATATTCCCTCGTAAAAACAAACTTTGAAGACATTGTGGAGGAGAGGCCACAGACGATAGATCAAGAATCTCTTCTTCAACTTTAGATCTTACACCCAAACGTTCAAGATTTTCCATATTCTCGACAATATCAAATAGATCCTTCAAAAATCTATTTTCAAGTGTAACGTCCAACTCCTCAACTGCCTTAGTTGCTTAAGCTCTGCAACAACTATAGAATTTCCTTCCACAAAATATAGCTTGTGTAAATTCGTTAAAGCCCCAAGACCCTCATGTATTTTGGGAAGGAAGTGGTCCCTATGCCATACAATTAGACAACGCAATTTTTTTACATTCTTGATTTCAACCGGTAGCTCAGTCACAAAAGAGTATTTCAAATCTAGAGTTTATAAGTTAATAAGCATGCCTATAGACTTGGGAAGTTCTTTTCTGTTTGTTCTTCTCAAACTAAAGTTGTGTAAATGAAAGAGCTTTCCCACTCCATCAGGAACGTACTCCACAGGGCCACCTTCAAAATCAAGTATTTTCAGAAGCTTGAAATTAGCAAAAAATGTACCCATGAAAGATTGAGGAAGTTTGTCTACATTAAAAAGACTAATAGAACGAACCTTTGAATCCTTGATTCTATCAAGGGCATCATCAGTACCTCTATTTACTGAAATACGACGGGTTTTATGACTCAAGTCTTCTCCACTTAGGTCATGATAGAAACCCAATTCCTTAGTCTTTTTGAGAAGGATTTCATGCATTAGATCATGAACTTTACATGTTCTAACTCGTCTTAAAACCGTTTTCTCCGAAACTTGAACCAAACTTCTATCAATGAGCTTTGTCAAGTAATTTTCTGCAACTTGTTCAAGTGAGTGGTTTTTGCTATACTGGACAAAGCCCTCAGCTATCCATAGGCGTATTAGTCTCCCAAAATAAATTTCAAAGCCTTGTGGAAACAAGGCAAAGTACAAGAGGCATGACTTCAAATGGTGAGGGAGATCTTAATAACCTTCAGATAAAACTCTATTGCAACTTCTCAGATGGGGAACGGTCCTTAACTTTGAGCCTAAACCACCAAGTAACTTTTGCCATTCAGAGACAACCTTGTTTTTGTTTGACGAAATACCACCTACAGCCACAATTGCTAATGGTAAACCTCCACACTTTGCTAGGATTTCATGAGACAATTTCTCTAGCTCCGTTGGACAAGACATGTTAAAGCCAAACGCTTTTCTACAAAAGAGTTACTGTTAGGGCCAAAAATCATCCTTGGCCCAAATAGGGAAACAGGACCACTAGTGAAGAAAAGACCAGGCCCAGTCCTAAAGAGGCCCGAGCCAGATTAGCCCCATTTGATACGAGATACGGCAGACCCAAACCATCTAGACATGGGCCTCCCAGTTCCAGTTCACCTCTTGGACCAATAGGCGATTCCAGAGCCCACGGCCCCCATCGATCTTTTTCCTGTTCCTGTTCAAACTCCTATTCAAAGTCACTTTCCTGTTCCTGATCACGTTCCTATTCGAAAGTTACTTTCCTGATCAAGATCACTTTCCTATCCGGACACTGGAAAGACGGCTTACGATGGCCCTAATTCTTCTAGGGTTTGCACCAGAGTCACATTAGGACTCCTACTCCTACCAGGATTGGGAGACCAGACAGTCACTATATAAACAGAGGCCAACCCTCTCACAGGACACACGACATTACGCCTTCACACCCGAAGCTCCTACTCAAGAGCTTTACATCACCGTCGTAGTCATAGTCCCTGACTAAACTTCCGGTAACCTTTTACTCCCTAGCCTTCACTATATTAGCCTTTCAGCCTTGCTGACTTGAGCATCGGAGTTCCTACGGCAAACACCACCCCGGTGTTTTCCCGTTCGCTTCACGTGTGTGTTTTTCTACGTGTGCAGGTTCGCTAATGGTCTCATTCTCACGGGATCAAACCCCCCTTCCGTACATGTAGATTTTTACTTCTACAGTTCCCATGCCTTATCTGAAGGCAAATGTTCAAGCTCATAGACATTCACAAATTCAACTGAATGAGCAACAGTTATGTATCGTGTTGTCAGCATTACTCTATTGCCTTTGTTATTATCAAGCAAAGCATACCTAACATCTTCCCAGAAATCATCTTTCCACACGTCATCAAACACAACCATGTAACACTTGTCTTGCAAGAGTTTTCTCAATGCAGTCATCAGATTCACCTCATTCATCTCTTTCGTATTCTCTGTCTCCCTTGAAGGGCACCATGTTTGACGGCAAAGTTCTTGTTTAATTGTCTTTAATAGATCTTTCTTCACGTATTCTTTCCCAATTGTGATCCAAGCCTGGCAGTTGAAATGCATCTTCACATCATCATTATCATAAATTTTCCTAGCAAGAGTGGTCTTGCCTAATCCTCCTTCACCCACCATCACAATCACTGAGAGATTTGGTTTTCCATTCACCAATAAATCAATCAATTTATGTTTAGAAGATTCAATGCCCACAATCTCTGAGTCCTCAATGAAAAAGGAGCCAACTCGAGAGTCATGTGGTATAACACCTCCTATACCACTACTTGATCCTTCATGTCTGATGTTGGAATTTTGTCTTCCTTGATTGATACCGTCAAGTGATGATTTGATATCTTGGATAGCAGTTGCAACTTCATGACGCAATTTCAGTTTCTTTACAAAACGACTTATTTTACAAAGAACACCAAGAAAGCCACTGCCACGAGGAAGTTGTGCCTTCTTGAAAATGTACTCATCAAGGACATCTTCAATATGAAAGGCTTCTTCCCTCAATTGTTTTACCCATGTTTTGACACCTTCGTTACTTCTTCCTTCTTCTTTAGCTGCAGCCTTTGCATCGGCATCCCTGAGGCAAGACCTTATGCTTTCCAATTTACTTTTGATGCTTTCGACTTCTTGTCTTGCGTTTCCCAGCAACTTGACTTCTTGGACTAGAAGGGAACTCAAGGTTACTATAGCAAACTCCATTGCAGCCTCTGCCATATCTCAACCTTTATCTCTTATTGGATTGATGCAATCTGGAAGAATTGATGCCAAGAAAATGAAATATAACATTAAATGTTTTTATTAATAAATGAATTGTTGGATAAAATTAAATGGTTAAGGGTACAAAACATCTTGTCAAAACCTTAGAGCTGACATGACAACAAGAGAAAATTGAATTAATTTTATTGAAGAGATAATAAATAATTTATTTTCTTGCAGTTATAATTCTTTGTGAATTTTGAGCCTTGATGTTATTGAGTGAAACCTATCAAGATAACTAAAAGTAAAACATGAACAAGAGTAGTTCAATTTTTTTTCTTTCTTTCTTTCTTTATTTTGTTTAATAAGAAACTGAATATTTATGAGATTCCTTTATACATAAATAGAATCATATGTTAAATATGTGATAATATAAATAAAGTGCAATGTTTTAAAACCTGGCCCGGCCCGGCCGGTTGAACTGGTTGAACCGGGACCCAGCTGGTGAGCCGGGCCGGGTGAGCCTAAAAACCGGTGTTTTTAGTCTATCCGCAGGCACCCGCGGTTGGACTGGTGTACTGTAGCACCAACCGGTCCAACCATCCATTTTAAAAAATTCGGGTCAACATTTATAATATAAAATAATTAAATTTAATAATAAAAAACATAAACAGTAAACCCCAATATCATTTCCTTTCCCTCATTTCCCCCCCATTTTCACGTGTTTCCCACCCTTTGCTTTGAAAGTTTGAACTCTGAAGCTTCACTCTCATTGAACTCTGAAAATTACCGCTGGAGTCTTCCCTTCACCGTTGAAACTCGTCCCTGCAGCCTTCACCATCGACGTTTTGCTTCGTCGTCAACTAGGGTGTCGCTCATTTCGCGATCTTCTCTGGCGTCCACTCTTCATCACCGCTGATCTACGCCATAATCCATCGTCTTCATTCTTGATTCTTCTCGAAGCTACACAGTGCACAGTCGATATGGATCTCGGAGCTGCACGCACTCTTCTTCACATTGTTTGAATCTGACTCAGCTCTTTATAGTTGCCCTGTTCACAACCGAGCTCCACCTCCCCGACGGGCAGCGAACGGCAGCTCATCTTCACCAGCAGGTAATTGTCACGGTGTAGGCATGTCTTTGTTTCAGCCTTCAGGTCTTGTGAATGATCAGGGCATTAGGCCTGAACCGAAATGGGAAGCCTTCTTAGTTTGTGGCTTCATTAACTACCAGTTCCTGGAGTGCTTCCTGAGGTGTGAGGGCTGAAATGTTAGGATCTTTGTTGCAGAAGAGTTCTCGGAATGTTGATTTCTGCTGCATTAGAACGATAACCTTCTGTACATATTGTCTCTAGATAAGGGATCAACCAACTCTGACTCTAGGGATATCAGCTTAAAACATTTACTAGTTGATGAATTTGTTGTGCATTTACCGGAGTTTTATTAACTAATCAAGTCATCAATTTTAATCAAATTATTGATTTGAATTTCATTGATTTTATCTCTTTTATGAATCTTCTAGGCTAGTAGAATGACTTAGGTTGGTACTTGGAAATAATTGGAGCAAGATCATAGTCATAGTTTGGGTTTAAAGAAATATTGTGCATCATCAAGTCTTTTTCAGGATTACTTGATATTATGCAATTTACATTTCGTTGCAGACATTTTGGCTGCTTGCTTTTACGTATACCTGCCTCTAATATGCTGTGATAGTTGAGCATAATGTGGATGTATGAAAATAAGAACTTGAGTAGGCTCATGGTTTCAGCCTTAAATAAGTGAAATGCATTTTCACTTTGTTTCCCACCTGCTTGCAATGGAGCTAATTATATGTCATTTATTATTTTATAAAAAGAGTTATCATTCTCTGGCCTGTTTGTGCATGATCAGGATTAGACAGAGCTTATATCTATTGAATTTACAAAAGTGGAAAAAAATGTATTCTGTGAACAGTATTTTGATGACATCATCAAAATACTGTTTACTTGTTGAACCAATTAGTTCAATCGGCTAAACCGGTTGACCCAAGACCCGCCCCTCTTGTCGGGTTTTGTCCCGTGTCCGTTTTTAAAACATTGATAAAGTGTGTGAAGATGTTAAAGTACCATTAATATAAATCCCTTTATATAATGCATTTTTATGTTAACCGAAAAACTATAAAATTCAGTTTCTAATTTACCACTAATTTTTATAAATTAAATAATGGGTTATTTTTATTTATTTAATTCTTAAATGACAAAGAGTGAAGTCAATAAAAAGATAAAATAAAATAAAAAATTTATTTCTGATCCAACTCTAGATAAGAAATATACAGAAAATAGTCCAAAAACAAGAGGCTAACTTTAGATGAAGCGCTAACTTTGAGTTTGGGTGAAACGCTTAAACGTTTTCTCTTGCTTTCTCTGCTGCTAAATGAATTTTCATGTATTATGTAAAAAGAAATTTTCGTGGAACTTGCGAGTTGCGACAAACCCAGAAGGAAACTTTAGCTACTGAGTACTATGAAAATATCGAGTAGATTACTATGAAAATTAGATCTGGAAAAATATTTAGTTAACAGAGGAGAAGAGAAGGAAAGTCAAGAAAAATATTTTGTCAATATTCAAAAGTGAAAACGGTAGATTAAAATAGTTGTATAAAACTTCTATATGAAAAGCAAAATTACAGAGAATATTTGAGAGAAAAATGTCAGCTTTTTCATTGAGAAGTAAAATTGATTTACAAACGTGTATATATTTTTGGCAATCCTTGTGACTGAAGTTTTACTAAATCTCAGCCACTCAATCAAACAGCAAACAAACACAATTAGAACTTGCGACTAACCCTGCACTTTTCGTNCAATTGTTTAATTTTGTTCTGGGATCAAACATAGGGAGTGTAAATAAGAGTTTGTTTCATATAAGTTTTAATTACTTCTGCTCATTACAGCTTTGTTTAGATTTATTTTCTTTTTTCTTAGAAAATCTTAAAGCATTATTAGGATTTAACAGTGGTGTTTTATAGTAGACTAAAAAAAAAAAAAATCAATAGTTTCATTTTAGGTATGCAGTTGGGTGGGAGAAATTATAAAATTCACTTGAATGACAGTATAGAAGAGCAATAATATCGTGAGACAAATTAATTGGGAGATGAATAATATAAAGAAAACAAGTGGAAAAAACAAGTGCCAAATGGCTGAAGCTGAGCTAAAGATTTAGAGAAGGTTGAGAATGCACGAGAACAAATATGAATTAAAATCAAAGAACACAACAGCTGTTCTTGAGAACAACAGTACTACAGTCTCTCGCTTTGTTACTTGAAAAAAAAATATTGTTAATTAGGTAAACAACAATTTGTTGTATGAAATTGGATGCCCCGTGAGCACTAAATTTTGCACATCCCCAGTTGATCAATTTGGTCAACTGGCGTTGCACCGCCAATTTATGTGTCAACCACCACCACCACCTCCGCCCTACCTCATCTTATTATAGTTGTAGGTCACTTAATTTGACACATAAAATAACTGAAAATTTTTGTTCAAAAATGTGTTCAGTATATGAAAATCTGTGATATAATTTTATGTTTACTAAAATGGTGTCATTGATGATTAGTAGTTAAATTTCAGAATACAATATTTGGACTGAACTATATGTTATTCCTCGATCTTAGTGGATTTATAGTGATTTTAATTTTGAAGTTTATGAAAAAGGTAGAAATAATTTAGGAATTCACATGCTTCTTGTTGTCTATTGTTATACTTTATAGTTCATTTTGCTTGAACAATGAGAAGCAAAAACAACACAATTATGATTTTACTAAGTTTGATTTCTTCTTGCTGCTAAATAATGTAAATTTTGATATTGATTGCAGCGGGGTTGTATATAAATGGAAATGGAAGATATATTATGAACAAGAAAAAATATATTAAAAAGAAAGCTAGATCACCATACAATCAAATTCAGCTACTCCTTTGATATTTACTGAGTATGTATATTTCCAACTCAACCCGTGATCTTATTAACTTTCAGATTTCCCATTTCTTCTTCATTCCTCCAGAGATTTATATAATATATAATTGTCAAAGAAACAACTATTTATCTTACCAAAACTTAAATTTTCTACGTCAAGTTGACTTATCTACAAATCTCACCCCCTTGTGTGAACTCACTTTAATATATATTTTTCTTTCACTTTATATTGTCTTGCATGTGAATCCGGGAAGTTTCCATGTATATATATTAAGTATTAACCTTAGTATCTTCGGCAAAATGGGGTGCTTTTCTTATATAAACTTCAAGAAAGTACCACTATATCTATATGCATGGTCTAGTATTACTGATTGATAATTGTTTCTAGAGAAATTGACCATGTCTACGAGGGTTCATGTTGGCATTGAGATGGAGGATCACACGGCTTCGGGAGATGCGGTTTCTCACCGAAATTGCGCTCAAGTTTTTGGTGACAAAGTGAGGAGGTTTCCGGGGTTGTTGTGGCATTCAACCTGCAAGTTTGGTGGATTTTTGAAGAATTATCTTGAAAGGTTTGATCAGAGAGTGTGGAAATTTCTGGGTTCATGGTGGCATACAATTTGGAAGGTGGGTGAAGAAGATTATCGACGAGTGATTCATGCTCTGAAAGTTGGGGTTGCATTAACACTGGTTTCACAGTTGTATTTGATTGATCCATTGCATAAAAGGTTTGATGACAGTGGCATTTGGGCTGTGATGACTGTGGTTGTTGTGCTTGAGTTCAATGCAGGTTATTGCTTATCTTTTCTGCGAATTAAGGCTTTGATTTCAAAGGAAAAATTAACAATGTTTGCATATACAATTTATTAATATATATATACTTTTTTCTTTCTTATTATGTACAGGTGCAACTTTTTACAAAGGATTGAATAGAGGATTGGGAACATTTTCAGCAGGATTCTTAGGCTGCTTCATTGAATATATTTCAGACGCCTCCGGTCATATTTTCCGAGCTGTTTTCATTAGTGTTGCAGTTTGTCTAGTAGGTAAATTTCGTTAGTCTCAAATGATT